CTTACTGCACTATCAATGGAAGGAACGTAAATTTGTTGTACCCACAAGTAACACTGTGATCGTAATATTTAGTCATGAGGCAAAGGAAATTAGAAATCTTTATTTATTTTTAATAGTTTATTTTTATGGCATTTTTTTCCATTACCATTTTCCCCCCCATACTCTCTCTCTTCCATCTCTACCCACCTTCCTCCCTGCCCACCCCCCCGGCCCCCGCAATTACTGCACTGTTGTAATTTTTTGAGACCTGAGAGGAGCATGATTTGGGGATAGTTTTTTAAATTATTATTATTAGTTATTCTGAACAATTTTATTTCTTGCCATGTGTATGTATTACCTTGATTTTTAAAAGTCACTGAATACCTACCTTGTAGCAAGCATTGTGTAACACCGGACATTTAGCAGTGGTTCCAGCCTTATAACAGCAGTGTCTACAGAAACAAATGATGCTGAAACAGGAGCCCCTGATGTATTTGTTTAAATGGGAAACGAGGAAGTGGAGCAGGGAATCACAGTTCACAGAGTATTTGGCCAATTGATTGAAATTCTTGGTACAAAACCCCCAGAGAGGTGAATTAGGAGGCGTCTTTAGGACTTGGGGGCTTGGAGACTTGACAGGGTTCCTTTAGATTAATAATATTCTAGGCAGGCAGATAGAATTGCTGACAGTTTGGAGCTGTAGGGTCCTTAGAGAGACTCTATCCTGTCCTTTCATTTCACAAACAAAGGAAACGTAGTAGTGGCAGAGCTAGGGCTCGAATGCAGTCCTTCTGTTTCCAAGTATAATGATGGATAAAAGGACTTCTAGATTAGGACACCCCTCGAAGCAGGAAGTCACCGTTTATCACATACCTACTAAGGGCCAGGAACTGTACTGGCCATTTTACGCATATTATTTAATTTAGTCTCCACAAAGCCCGTATCAGGTAGGCTATACTCATATTGAATTTGAGCAAAATAAGGTTTAAAGAGTTTAGAGCATTTATCTAGAGCCTATAGCTGGATAGAGACAGAGGCTGGATATGAAGGAGTCTGATCGCAAGGTTCATGGCCCTTGGTTCCTGGCTTGTAATTTGAGCTCAGCTGGCTGAGAGCGACACACACCTGGATTGGTGACCAAAGGTAAAAATAATAACCGTTTCATATTTAATCATTGGACACATCAACACAATCCAATAATAAGGAAAACATGAACCAGTCCTAGCACTGCATAAATGAAGCTTTTGATCCCCTCTCCATTCCCCCATGGCCCACCATGGAGGAAGGCCTGTGAGCAGCCAGGCCATCTTTCTTAATTAGAAGGGACCCAGGAGCCTTCACATAGCCCCAAGCTATTCTGAGCAAAGCAAACAGGAAACAGAAAAGAGGGAGAGGAGAGATAAATTCTCACTGACTTTAAAAGATTTATACCGACAATATCCCAAGGAGTTTATGAAATGTATTCTATTTTATTTTTTGGTAGAGAAAAACTGCTGATGAAGAGATAGCTCTCAACTATAGAGTTTCATTGAAAATACTTTAACTTCAGTCTCTTATTGATAGTCCAGTTGCACCAAATAAAATTCATATAAACATCATCTCGCATATTAGAAGTGGAAAAATCATCCATCTTCCAGTCAGCTTTGAAAGAGTCCCATTATTGAGGTACTGAATCACAAGGACTGAATTTGCATGTTTCTACACCCACAACGTGGGAACAACGGTGCAGGAAGACCCCAAGTTCCAGCATCTTCAGCTTCATTTTCTCCTGCTGGGAACTTGAATTTCCCGGGGGTGGGGGTGTACCTGCATGCATCTGTGTGCACATGTGGACATGCATGTAATCTTCCTGAGAAGGGGAACACCTCCTTTATTTACCCACATTCTTTCCTTCAGAAGTTCCAAAATTGGGTTCCATCAATTTGAATACATCAGAGTATGATCTCAGACCAGGGCACCTTATATGTGACATGCGTGGCTTTATCCTAACCCCAGACCATGTCCTCAAGGTGTCTGGAGCAAGACTCTGTCCCATAGGTGTTTCCAGAACCCTCACCTGCTCTGGACAGATACACTCTAATCTAGTACAGTGCTGGAAACCCCAGTCAGTCCCAGAGTCTGTCCCCAACACAGTGCCTTTGCTTAAAACAGTAACATACCGAACACGTCATGTTTACAGTTAGTCACATCCCTGCCAAGAGCGGACCGGTGGGGCAGGATGAGGCCGACCAGTACTGACTGCCTCGCCACACCCCCCTTGACTATCCCAGATTAATCTTCCTGAAGCACCACTCTGATGATGTCCCTGCCAGGCTCAAAAACCTTTTCTGGCTTCCTATTGTCCACAAAATAGAGATTAACATCTTCAGTCAAGAATTAAATATGCTTTATGGTCTAGTCCCACACCTACCAGCCTAACCTTTCTTCCTTCCCAGGCTTCCCTTCGTGTACCCCACTCTGCAGCCAAACACCATGCCACACTTTCTACATTTACGCCTCTCAATTCCTGCACAGTGGCTTCTGCCAGGACCTTTGTTTTTCTTGCACATTAAGACCTAGCTCAAAGGTCAACTTCTTCATGAATCTTCCCAATTTAACTTACTGTCTCCTTCCTGAAGCCTCATAAAGTGCTTTACCTATATGTGTCTTATGACTTTAGTGCCTCTACTTTTGATTGTAGTTACTGAAGACCTCTCCTCATCTCTCCTGGACCAGAAGTGCCTTGAAGGTCAGAACTGTGGTTCATGTCTGTGTCCCCAGGGCAGAGCCGGTGCCTGAATGTTTGCTTGGAGCAGGCATGCAATACCTGACATTTGAGGGCAGAGAGTGAGGAAGCCAGTGAACCAAAGCCAAGATGGGTTTGGTTCAGTACCCACATGCCTGTTTTTCGTCTTTCCCATCCCTCTGAACTCCTGAGCGACGCAACTTGGCCACAAGGCACCCTGATCATATTTCAGGATAAAGGATACAGTGGGACAATGAGAAAGATACAAAGAAAATGACACTGGTTGGGAGTCCACCTAGAGTCTGGTCTGGACTTTCAATTGAAGACTCTAAAGTCATTTTTCCATTCTGATCTCCAGTCTGCTTTCATAGAAAAACAAGAACGTTGTATTACATGATCGATAAGTCCTTTATAATTTGGAGCTTTTGATTCTGATCCTTTTACCTCTGTGCCCATGACAAGAATGTCTCCCCCAGTGTCAAAAAGGTAATAATGTAGATTATTTACTGAGGGTTGTAGAATACTTTCCAAAGGCCCATATGCCGTGCTAAAACTTCCTAACAATTATAGAGGGTTCACTTTCCAGTACTGACCCATGCTCCCCATCCAGCTCAGAAATAGTCTTGCGCTGACCTTATCCTGATTATAACCAGAAGTCACATTTACCTACTTTCAGAATAGTGCAAATATCCAATCTCAACACAATACCTTCTCCTTGGAAACTGCTTTGCTTCTCATAGGAAACTCTCCTCCCACTTTTTATTTATTATCTGCCTCATCCTCTATTGCAGGCTGCTAGTTCATTTGCCTACTGGTAAATTGGGTTATCTGGAGAATGAGACTGATTTGAGGCGTGAGAGGTGAGGGGGGTGGTAAAGGCTGAGCTCTCATTAGCTGTTTCCCACTGGACACATTAGGCATCTCATTGGAATAGCTTCCACTGCAAGAGAAGCAGCATCTTATGGACCCAAACTTCAACGCAGAAGCGTGACAAGTAAAATTAATGCATCAGGAGGAATGCTGTGCTTTTATGCTGACCATAATCCCATGAATATGGGTTACTTGCAGGTCACTTGGCCAGTGCTACTGGAATTAGGGTTGGCCTGCCCTGGAGGGACACTGCCGCAGGCACAGCACTAGGGGGGCTTTGCAAGGCGTTCTTTGTGGAAACCAGTTGCAAATTCACATGACTCACAGACTCAAGAGCAGAAATGAATCTTAAGGGATTACTAAGTTCAGCCAACCCTTCTCACCCTATTATATAAACAGAAAATTGAATACTGAGAAAGTCAGTGCTTTGCCCAAGATCACTCAGCTAGTAAACAAAGGAGCAGGAGCCCTGATCCTAACTGCTACATGGCAAGTGACCTGAATACTTCCTTTCCTAGCCACCCACCTCTCAAGGAAAACCTTGAACCAGTCATAACTCTTTGAGAGCCTAGCGCCAACCCATCCATTACCAGGAAGCTCTGAACTCTCCAACAGTTGTAAACTGTGTCTCACATTGACTTGAATGATACTGATCTGGAGAACTCAGGTCAGCTCAGATTTAAATTGTGACCTACAGGGTTGTCTGAGATGCCCGAAGTGTCCTGGTTTGTGAGGTGTGAGGTACCCTACATTGGTATTTACAAGACGGCACTGATGTCCTGGCTTTACTTTTGGGATGTTTATGGAGGGAGTGACTTTATTAGGCTGTCCCCCTGGGCCAGGATATAAATCTTTAAGAATATCTTAGCACCTGGGTTGGGTTTCTGACTCTGGTCACTCTTTGGGGATGAAGTAATACACACCAGTCTTCCCCTGTTTCCTATGGGACTTTGTTAATTGTGCCTATTGGCTGGCAAAGATTCTGTGAGCTGTCATCTCTACTTTAACTTAGAAGGCAGTTGAAATCAAGTAATTGGTTGTGTACTAGGGTGCTTTCTCCCTACCTAAAACTTAGAGAAGTGCTCTTCATGCTTATCTCACATACTTCTTGCAACCACCCTTTGAAATAGGTGTTTTCATTCCCATTTTACAGGTGAAGAACCTGAGACTCAAGGACATAGAGCTAATAAGTAGGGGTGCTAAGGTGAGAACCTTGGTCTGCCTAATTATAAAGCCCACTGTTCACTGTTCTCTTGCAAAGATGACCTAAGAGAGGGGGAAGAGGGCTTGTGTGTGCAAGGAACATGATGAAGGCCTCCAGCATTGCAGACTTTGATGCCACTGGTCTCTAAATCCCGCCCCAGAGCTGCTGCTGGTCTACCTGTCTGGACACACGTGCAGAGTCACTTTCCCTGTCTCTTGGCAGGTGCATTCCTCCTCCTGAACACCTCGGCAAACTCCAAGCACACCATCCTGAGCCCATGGATGAGGAGCAGCAGCGAGCACTGCAGGCTGGCCGTGTCTGTGCACAGGCACCTGCAGCCTTCTGGGCGGTACGTCGCCCAGCTGCTGCCCCACAACGAGGCTGGAAGAGAGATCCTCCTGGTACCCACTCCCGGGAAGCATGGGTAAGTTTTTCCCCATTCCAAAACTCATCATATCAAAGGCGATTTGGCTTTTGGCTGCAAATTTCCAGAGTCTGTGACATCTACTTAAAACTCAAAATTACCCTTTAATGGGTAGGGACCAGATTGAACCATAACTGCTAATTTTCCCTGGATAGTGTCTCGGGCACTGTTCTTTGGGGCCCTCTGGCTAGCCAAGCTGGTGGCCCTTCCAGAGGCCAGAGGACCAGCTGGCAGAGTGGATATTTAATGAGTGGGTATTCATTTCCCAAAAGCCAAACGGAGCCAAGAAGAAAACAGCCAAGGGGAGTGTTAAAAGGCCAAAATGAAAGTAATTTAATATGCTGGAAAGTGGGTTTTACCAGCAGAATTTTGGCGGGAAGGCAAATAGCAAACTATTGTAGCCACCCAGGCAGGTCCTACAGCAGTGTGGGACCCCAGAGCAGAATTGATCAGGGAGACCACAATGGTATCAGCTCCACAGAGTCTGGAACAACCTTCGTTCTAGAACATCTAAGGCTTACACAATGTTGAAGTCACACCCAATACTCATATCAGTGAATTACTTTATGCTTCCAGAAGATACTCACCGGCTTACTTAGTGATCCATTGGGCCTCTAGAAGTGGTGACTTTGGAAAGCCAACTTGAACCAGGGCATCTCTGCGCCTGCCTTTTTTTCCCATTCCATAAGTTCAAATACCATTGTAAGACCCCAGTTTTGAATGGCCCCAGATCTGATTACTCTGTAATCAGTAAAGGTGAGAGATTCTCCTTTATGGCATGTTTTCAGGAGAAAGACCTCTAGTGTTTAGCTAAGCTCAGATTTAGCCACTCCTTGCAGAGGGGTCCCATCTGAACGATGATGTTACTCATCTCCACCTCCATGGTGTGCTGGCTTGGGGGCGGGAGATTCTGCCTGCTGCTTTTTCAGTAAAGCTATATGGCCTCCCTAGTAATCTCTTGAAGGTCTCCACCCCACTCCCCTGCTGACCCATCTGTATTTAGTTGTGCTTCAAAAAACTACAAGCTACTACAATCCTAGCAAGAATGAAATCTTGGCTTAAGAAGATTGCTGTCCCCATATATAAATGCATATCCATCTTTCTGCCTCTGGAATGCCTTCTGGGGCTGGCTGCGAAGACCCCGGCCACCAAGGGCCTCTTGCTGTCTCTTTCAGAAGGCAAGGACGTTAGGTGTCGGGCTGCCCACTGTTTTGAATGAGCAGTCCCCTCGGCCAGGCCTCCCTCCAGCATGGCCTCCCTTTCCTGTGAGATGCCCAGGGGGTAAGGCTGCTCCTCCATGGGTGGGGCCAGTGGTGGCCTCAGCTGCTGTGCCATCCCCTAGGCATTTGCCTTGTGGGCTGTTTGTTCTGTCTCCTGCCCTCCCAAGCCTGGCAGAGACCGGAGAGTGCCACTCAGGGCTCCTGGGACTTCAGGCCATCAATCTGTTGAGGGAACAGGGAGTCGGGGGACTCACTGATGTCACAGGGGGAAGCAGAGGTTGGGGGCCTCCTTGAAACATCAGCTGAGAATGTGTGAGTGTGGGAGGGAGAGTGCCAGGGCGATTTTGGTGCTTTCTAAGTAGCAGGACCTGGTTCCCTGTGTGGTACGGTCAGCGTGACAGCCACATGAGGGCTTGCAATGAGCCTTTCCCCGCTTCATCTTCCTATGCTCCTAATGACCAAGTCAGTTCCCACTGAACTGAGGAGAAAATGGAATGGAGTGAATGATATGGCCCAAAATGGGCCAAGGGAAAAGGGAAAGACCCCAGGTCTCCCCTTTCCTCAGCTGTGCTCTTTCCAGGAAATCCATAGCCTCTCAGTAGGCACTCAGAGGAAGGGAGGCATCGGGAAAGGAGCCTCAAAACAGATGAGCCCAGGGGGCATGCGATGGCAGTGTCCCCTCCACATGCGGTGAGAACAAGGAGACCAGGACCGTGTGGTGTGGGCAGGCTGTGAAGTTCCTCTGAGGCTGCCACAGCCACCTGTCTTGAGGCCCGCTGGCCAACACATGTTCTTCCAGGGTGACCCTCCCATCATCAGAACTGGTCTGCCCCCGGAAGGTGGGAGTTGCAGCGGGAGAACGGGAGCAGGGGTGCGAGGGCAAGGCCACGAACTCGATGGCTTTGCCTGGGGCTGCCCCTACGCTGGCAGGGCCTTTGCCTTAGGCTAGGCCCTGTGCACCGTGTGTTGAGATGTTTTCCCCCAGCCCTGCCAGAGCCATCTGGGAGTTTTGTATGAGCAGACATAATTCTAAATTCAAATTAAAGATGACTGGGCCAGCCTCCCTACCTCCAACAAGATCAGCGTGGTGAGGCTGGAAGGTGGCTGCTGAAGGGGCAATCCATAGACTGCGCTGCTGAATGGAGGAGTTCTGCTGTGCTGGGCGCTTCAGCAGACTGCAGGACACAGGCACTTGCCTAGCAATTCAAAGAGCTCTGGGTGTTTGTGCAGAGCTGGATCCAGATTGCTCAGTGTTGGCATTATTGACACCTAGGGCCAGATAATTGGTTTTGTAGACATTGTCCTGTGCATGGTCCCCAGCTTCCCAGACCTCTTCCCACGAAAAGCCAGTACTGGCTGTGACCAAAAAAATGTCTCTAGACATTGCCAGATGTCCCTTGGGGTACAAAAGTCATCCCCATTGAGAACCACAGAAACAAACAGGGCATTTTAGAGCTGGGAACAACCATGGGGTTTACCTGGTTCAGCCTCATCAATTCACAGGTATGGGAACTGAGGCCCAGGAGAAGGAAGGGACTTGCTCCATGTCACATGATGAGTGTCAGGGTTGATAGGCAAGTATCTTGAGCCCTACACTCATGTGCATGTACCAACCACTGTATTAAGTCCTGGGTTACAAAGATATGTAATGCCCAGTCCCTAACCTTGAATAACAATAACTATTGCTAACACTTATTAAACATTTCCTCGATCTAACTGCTAGGTAGTCACTGCTATGCACTCTACATGCATTTTCTAACTAACACTCAACAACACAGTGAAGCAGGTGCTATTATTATCTTTCATTTTATAGATAATGAAATTCAGTGGGTAGACAGGGTGGAGGGGATCTGAACCTAACTAGTCTGACTTCAGACTATTTTTCCAGACCCATTCCTGGAAAAGCTCAATTAGTCTACATTAGTGCAGCATAAAAAAATTGTTATGCTGTGAATCAAAGCCCTGCATTTAAATCATGGTTCACTATTTAATTATCAGTTCAGTGAGTAGTCATTTATTGGCTATTTTCTATTTATTAGGATTGTAGAGGCACAAGAGATACAAAAGGTCAGCATTTGATGGTCCACCAAAGGATGTTCCATGAAAGAGCTCTATGATTATAGGCAAATCCCATCCCCTCCAAAGCCTCAGTTTCCCATCTATGCAGTGGGCATGATGCTGCTGGTCTGTTCACGTGATGCCGTGGGGTCAGCGCAATCTATGATGTGAAGGGTTTTGCACCCTCTGAGCTGGATGTAAAGGTAAGAAGCCATTAAGGCCTTAATCGGCTCTGATCTGTGCAGAATATTGGCACAAGTGATTGAGACTCATCTGCTTTCAGGTTATGGGTTAGTGTGAGTCTCAGGAATCCTTTGGCTTTAAGATCCTGGGCAGTTTGCCTCTCTAGAAGCTCACCCCATTTACTGCCAGAGATGACCCCAATAGCACAGTCTTCAGTGTGGCAAGGGGGAGGCAGTGAAATGCTGGTGGTGAGGACAGTGATGATTACAAATGAGGCTGGTTTCTTCTCAGAACAGAACATGGTGGTTTGGGGACCACTATTTGGAAAATGACATTCAGCATTTACAGTAATGAGGCAGGAAGTTGTCATAGCAAAGTCGGCTGGGGAGAGCCTGACGCAGAAGAGTGGGCTGAGGAACGGCAAGTCAGAGAGGCCACCAAGGCCCCACAATCCATGAGTCATGAGCAGGCAACATCACGGGGAGCAGCAGCCTGCTTGGAGGCGCGGGAGATAGGAAGGCCATTGGAGAATCCCAGCAGCTGCCCCCTTCCTTGTCCTGGAAAGCAGCAGAATGCACGAGGTCTAATGAGTTACAGAGAGTGAGCACACATTGGCCAAAATGGCCTGGCTTTGGCCAGGGTCTGCCAGGGCCCAGGTGACAATGGCGAGTGCCCGTCCTATTCATCTGCTCATCCGGCCAGGCAGGATGGCACAGAAGCAAGGAAGCAGAAAAATGGGATGTCAAATAGCCCTGCCCCAGTGGCCACAGAATCCAGCAGGCATAGGATAGAACACCTTAACTAGACATTAGAAGCCACAAAGTCCCCATGAGTTAAATGAATATGATAATACCTATTTGACATGGTGAGTTGTGAAATGGCATAGGAAAACGGCTCACAAATTTGCCTGACTGTAGTAGATATTTAATACATGCTAGATCCTTTCCAGTTCATACATTTATTTAACAACCATGGATTTTGTGCACCTACCACATAACAGGTGCTGGGAATTCACAGTTGAAGACACAACACAAACACGGCTTTCAAGGAGCGTCCAGACCAATAAGGAGCACACAGGCAAAATAGCAACGGCACATGCTTGTGCAGACGTTTTTGCATTCAGTCCCAGAGATATTAGAAGGCTAAGCTAAGATCACTGGCCAGCAGGTCAGCACAGGAAGCCCGGCCCCAACTTCTGCCCCCTGCACCTCCTTGCCTTTTCTGTGGAAAGCTGTTTTAGAGAAAGCAATCCAGCAGCATTTGGCAGTGTGAAGTCATTGTCTTCCTGGACTCAGAAACACAAGCTCAAGGGCTGGTGGTGTTTCTGGCTGTAGGAGCGACTCTCCAGGGCTCCTTCAAGAACATCCATCACAAGTGCTTCTTCTCTGAGCACTCGGCTTTCTCCTGCAGCCTGGGGTATCTGGGGACTTTATTATGTGTGACCAGAACTCCACAGTGTGTAGAAGGAAGAATTGGGCCCTGAGGGGATAGAAGTTGCCAATCATTTGAATTACTATATTTGAAAAGATGTTTTAAACC